TGAGATCTATTTTACTGTATCTGAATGATTATTTTTAACAGACTTTCTCCTTTGTTGATTCACAGGAATGTGTTACACAACTGAATATGAGGGAACTACTATCAGTTGGCATGGATGGCCCCAGTGTGAATTTCAAGTTGGTGGATCTTCTCCAGAAAGACCATGCAGAGCTCTACGGAGGTGCTCAGGTTGTCACTGTTGGAAGCTGTGGACTTCACACCCTCCACAGTGCTTTAAAGGCAGGCTTTACTATGTGGCAGTTGGAAAAACTTTTGGGAGCCATGCACGGGCCTCAGCAAGGTCCCAGTACAGGCTATACCTTGAGCAAGAACGCAAAAAGAGGGAGAGTGCTGCTCAGACACTGAAGAGGAAGGCCGCAGAGGAAGAACTAGTGGAGCTCAGACAGCAACGCAGAGTCCTGGACGATGTCTGTGCCATCCTTGAAAATGATGCCAACAAGTTGGCCGAGGAGGCAGAGGGGAAGGCTGGGTCAAAAATGGCCCAGCTTATCACTAAATCCAACACACTCAGAAGGAGATACAAAGAGAAAAAAGAGGAACTGGATAAAATGGACAAAACTATTGAAGAAAAGGCCATGCAATTAAGACACTTGCCATAAAATTCTTTTGCTCATGAGTTCATATTAGGCCTATAGCACAGGTTTATGTTAAAATCAAATGGCAGTTCACCAGTTCATATAGCAGATGCCAGTTTGTAGCAGCGAATGCCAGCCAGTGTGCTGGAACTGTTCTCTTCATTGCACATTTTATGTAATTTGTTTTATTTTTATTCATGAAGTGAAATAAATGTGTGCAATATGTGGTCAACATCAGTGAGTCTCTAAATCTATTCTGTTGTGTATAGTGTTAATATATGTCAATCTGCTTCAACATTAATAAGGTCGCTGATTAACACTTGAAACTCAGTGTCATGATGGTTTTAAAAAAAATCCGAAGGTAGTATAAAAAGGTATTAAAAGGTATTAAATTTAACTTAAGGATTGCTGTATATACCCTGTTTGAGCTTGAAGGGGTATATACTAACTAGTCACTCCCTTGCTACAACGAGCCGGGTGGCAAAAGGGTTACGCTAACATCTGGAAAATACATTTAGAACAATAACCAAGCTAGCTAAATGAACTAGTGGACAACAGCTCATCAGCACAACTATAGAAAAGAACCCAAGATGGCTGATAAAAGATCAAGAGACCAAGGTAAAAAAGTAAACAAGGTGCTTTTGTTTGAATCATTGTTTCAATATAAGAAAAAAATGTTTGCATCAAAGCAGGAACATTTGGAGGAGAATTGTCACGATTCTGTCCCACTGGCTTCTGGTCTCAGGCTTTTATTTTGACACTACTTCCTGTCCCCAGCTCACCCTGACTCCCGGGAGCTTTTGCCCATTATCCACATTGGTGTCACCTGCTTCTCATTACCCACACCGGCTCACAACAGTATATAGGCAGCTTCTCACCCTGTGGGAAGCTGCCAGATCGTTCTAACTCCTGTTCAGATTTTCCAATGTTTTTCTCTACCTGTTATTCCAGCTCTGAACACGGATTACCTTGTAACCACCAAGTACTGCCTAACCCCTCTGATTCTGCTTGTGTTTTTGTGTATCAACTATTGGACTGGCCTCTCGTTTGTGGATCCCTCGGCTGTGTAAGTTTACTGGCTCTGACCCTGGACTGTATTAACGACCTGAGAGTGTTACGTGCTGAATCAGTATCCGGCCTTGTGTTATCGTTTGTGTCCGACCAGTGCACTTATTAATGAGTGTTTTACTTATCCTCGTCTGGCTATATAATTGAGTTCACCCCGTGACATCATTGGCAGCTTTACTGCCAATATCCTGACAGAGACTGTCACAGAAGTTGTGAAGGCTGGAGAGATGCACTCATATGCTAATGCTATGGTGGAGAACACCGTTCTTCCCAATTCAGCTCCATCTACACTGGTAACGAAAAGACCAAGACTGAGCCAACTATCTCACAGTTACAAGATAATATTGTTAGGTGTGTAGCAGAGAAAATGAAAGAAACCACTAACAAGCTTGCATTTCTGATAAAGAAAAATGCCAATACCACTGAAGCTCTAAAGGAGCCCTCAGAGTTTCTTTTCAAAGAAGTCCGAGACCTGAAAATCAAGGTTCCAACGATGAAACAAATCGGTGATGACTACTGGAAAAGAATAACACTCATGGAGGACAAGATGAATGACATGGAATGCTGTCACAGGAGATGCAACCTGAGGCTGTATGGGTTACCAGAGCAGGAAGGAGAGGATGTATAGCACTGATGTATGATCATTCCAGGAGCCGGAGAAGACTGAGGCTTACACATTTGATTTGATTTGATTTG